ATGGAACGAGCTGCCAGAGGAAGTGGTGGAGGCTGGTGCAACATTTAAGACTTTTGGACAGGTACACGAATAGGAAAGGTTTGGGGCAATATACCCCAAACGCGGGCAGGTGGGACTAGGTTAGTTCGAGAAACTTGGCACGGACAAGGGTCTGCTTCTGTGCTGTGTGACTCACGTCCCCCTCTCCTGTGTACCACCTGCCTCTATGTGTACATACTCATAAACCTAAGGCAATTATATACACACGCAATGGCCCTGCAGACCCTATAGAGGCATACATCGACACTACAGAACATACACACACACACCCACATTCACACATACACCGGCTATTCACACCCGCATCAAAAATGTACACACACACAAACTCTCTATATGTACACCTTTATGCATACCCTCAACACACCTGACCTGGATAAACGCTTGAACAGGAAATGATGAAAAGGCTGCTATCATTTCACTGGGGAAAAAAAATCTCCTGTGATTGAGTTAGTTGTGCTCCATTCTACTGAGTGAATCAGCAGCAAGACATGGGCAGAACCAGACCCTGTTTACATTGAAAAGAACTGTACAAACGGACTGGGCACGGCAGACAAAGTGACGAGGTATGAAGAGAGGACGAGAAAGTAAAATGTCAGTCAATTGTCCAACTTCTGAGCTGCTCCAGGACTTCCCTGCCCAGTTACAGAGAGATTGCCGAGCGCAGGGAGGGAAAGAGAGAGAGATGGTCAGAAACAGAGAGTCATTTCAGTAAACACAGAAAAACTCACATGGAGAGAGAGAGACAGACAGACTCTCCCTGAGGCGTGTGGCATACAATTTGTGCAGAACACAGTCCTGCAAACAGCAATAACAACCAGGTCTTTGTGTCCTACTGTACTGCTACGGTGTGCCCGACTGGTCCCTGCTCCAGTCACTCTTACCCCAGTGCACATGGGAATACACACCTAAGAGGCTGTAGACCCAAAAGCATGCCCAGCATCGACTGACTGCCTTGCTTG